GTTGCAGGTCCGGTTCTACACGCGTAAATCAAATACTAGCAGGATTTATTCTAGGTGTAATGACTCAAATCAAGGAAACATGTGATACATGTGTAGATCAGCCCAAACAGATGATGGGAAAGGTAATACCAAAGGAAATATGTGTGACCGATGGCAGCGGCTTTGTCTCACCGGAATAAAACGGCTTTCGGAGATCACCACAATAAGATCACCACAATAAGCCCTAGACATATTCGTGCTCTCCATATCTATGGATGTCTCTAACATAACAAGATTCTTTCGCCTTCGAAGATGTGAACGAGCATGAAAAGTCATCAAGAAGCCCTGTTTGAGGGTAAGCTGTCTCAATCAGGGCGAAGAGAGCATGACGCTCGGACCACTGGCGGCATGGCGCTATGTACCAAACAGGCAAGGCGCCATCTTGGAGAAAGCCTCTGCATTAGCGTGGTCTCAAATAGAATTGGATCTTTACAGTGGGCGTAGAAGATTTATCACGTATCGATACGCGATAAGCTTAGCGTGTTTAGAACTAGAGACTCAATTGGTATCTCTCGAGAAGGGTATCTCAAACTCCATCAAACAACTTCTCCTTCAGGAACGTGCTCTCCGAATCGGGCTCGCCACTACGAATCTATCAGGCCAACCATGCATGAACGCATATCATAACGATGCCAAATGTGGAAAAGAACTCCACGACAGGTATCCATCCAGTCATTTGTGAACGCATCTTGAGAAAGTTCTCCCATGGTGGTGTCTATCGCGACTCCTTAGGCGGTTCCGGCGGGTTTGGTGTCGGTAGCGACGCCAATGTCAGCAGCAGCTGGGGCTTCGGCAGAAGTGTCGGCAGCAGCGACGGCAGTCTCCGTAGCCTTGTCCTCGGGCTTTGCTTCGGTGGCAGCGCCGGTAGCTGATACGGTGTTAGCAAGTGCTTACAGCTCCGAGTGAGACAGCTGAGTTTGCAGGTCAAGCGCCCTACACGGTGCTTCGAATTCTTCGCGGGGGATGGATGGCGGGGTAAACCGACTTACCAGGCTCAGTGACAGGCTTGACTGCCTCCTCGGTCTTGGTTGCCTCGGTGGCAGGGGCCTCTCCGCCAGAAGCAGGAACAGGAGCAGGAGCGCCGGCGGCGGCAGCGGCGGCAGCTAAGGCACATGAATCAGCATCTTTCGGAAGCTGTGTTGGTTTTGCCGTGTCATATTCCAAGGTCTGCACCAGAATTCTATGATTCTATATTGCACTTACCGGCTGCGGTGTCAACCTTGGCTGCCTCGGTGGTTCCGCCAGTGGATTCGCCCTCCTTTGGTTTCTTGTCCTTCTTCTTAAAGACGGCCTTGAACTTCGCCTTCAGGTTGGTAAGTGCGTTCGGCGCTGTACAAAACGCGGAAGTTAGCCTGCATTCGTAGTACAAGGTACTAAGCGGAGCGAATGGATAAAGACCCGCCATCTCTAGTCGAGCCACGCGAAGTGAGAGGACGAAGACACGTTTCCACCTTGGCGACAACCACAAATGCGATTGCAAAGATCGTCTGTGGCCATCATCGCAGCGGAAGAGGGAAGCTTAGGAATGGGCTAAGAATGGGGTGCAGGAAATGGGAGCTTCACGAATTCCACCCATTGTGTCAGTTGTAATGAATCCACCTGGGACGGTTCACGAAAGATATTTCCCGGCAAGGGATATGAAGTCCGTAAAGGAACAAGACGAGAGTCTACTAGAGTAACGCAGGCTGTCGTTGTCTGTGGACAAGATGGCGGATGTGTGGTGATAAAGCTTGAAGAGTAGAAGAGTGGAACTGGGGAAATGGTAGGTATTGCTTCAAGGTGGATACGCGCCATCCAGGAGAAAGAGCTAACCCAAGCCCCAAACCCCAGCCAATATTTGGGGATGGGGGTCTTTTAGCGCCCGCAGACGCACACCTGCAAGACGCTTGGGCCCCCTTACCAACCCCCTACCGACCCCTGATGGCCAAGACGGACATTAGAAAAAACAAGGAAAAAGGATCTCGGGACACCATTACCGAAGTAAATCCGCCTTCGTGATACTACTACTGTAGCTAGATGTCACAGGGAACGAGGGGGCAAGAGGGGATCAGAGGTACAGGTCTAGGACAGTGGTTCTACATCTAGGTATACATATCATTGCCAACGATGCGTGACTCGTCGCTGTGCAGTATTTACAACATGCACTACTGAGGCAGGGCAATAGTGTCGTTGTGGTACCTGACCGAGGTAAGACGCTACCGACCTGAATCTCCAGACAGGCGGCACATAATTTAAACCCCAGGAGTCCATTTCCGATATTAACTCTCGCTTACAGTACACTGCCAGATTAGTTCTTTCATTACTGTTACAATACATACGGCTTATACTTAGATTAGGCGCTCCAAGGTTACAGCTATTGTCGAGGATGCCTCCATTTAGGACAACATTGTATCAGTTGAATCTCGAGTATCCAGGCGAAAGCTGTAGTCACCGCTTCCTCATTGTTTAATATGCAACCCGTCTGATTAATATTAAGAAACCTAATCTATGCTATCACTCATCTCTCTCCGTGGAGTTGGGTTTAGACCCAAGGAGAGGAACGCTTGCAATTAATTGCGCATCAATATAAACTATCAACAAGTTGTCAGGCGTCGCCGTATGGCCTTTAAGCTCTTAGCCACGTGCCGGCTGATGTTCATTTTATAAAAGAGTTCCGGCCAGGCATTGCTTACCATGCCGGCGGAGTAACCCAATCAGGTTTCCCGACACACCTCGTCGATGCAAGCCTCCGGGTCCGGACGCCACCGACCGAGATCGGGCGGACCGGCATGAAGAGTCATAGTATGAGCTAAGAGAATTTGCAGCAGGATCCATTCGATGTCCCGACGAATTCGGGAGAGCTACGGCCGCGCGGCCGTTTGATAGTAGTCACGATGGAGCTCGGCTATATCTCACGACATCCTTACACCGTACTCGTCGCCGGGGAACGGTGTCGTTTCTTGGTATCGCAGCAGTAATCCCCTTTGGTTGCGGGCTCATATGACCAACAAGAACAACTAGCTCCTATCGAGTCTCCACAGCTCGTCGTGTAATTCGACATCCGAGCAAGCGTCTTCGCCGCTCTTTTATGAACCACCAAGATACGCTATACTGGATATTTAAGCCTGAACCGGAGCTTTTCTCTGTACCAACTTACGACTTAATCACGCCGCCCAGTGTTCGCATTATTGTCGCTTCACTACTAATATCTCACAAGCGCACCCGAGCCGTTATTCAATCAAATCCTGTTCTAGTCGGTCGAGGTCAGCTTTCCTTCATTGGAAAGTCACTCAAGACAACAGCATCAGAATGGCGCCAATCATTCACCTGGTCCGCCACGCACAAGGCTATCACAATCTCAGTCACGAGAATCAATGGATACGGGATCCAGATCTGACCGATCTTGGCAAGGAGCAATGCGAGGAGCTTTGCAAGAGCTTTCCCTACCACGACAAGATCACGCATCTGGTCGCATCGCCAATTCGTCGGACCATATTCACATGTCAGTTTTCCTTCGCGCCGGAGGTGAAGGCAGGAAAGAAGATAATCGCTCTCCAAGACGCTCAGGAGGTTTCCCTCTACCCTTGCGACGTCGGCAGCGACGTCGGAAAGCTGAAAAAGGAATTCAGCGACCTCGTCGACTTTCGGTTCGTCACAGCAGACTGGAACAAGAAGACGCCTGACTCTAAATACTACCCGGACTCCGGCAAGCTCGAGGCCAGAGCCCGCAGCACGAGACTATGGCTCCGGGATCTGGTCAAGGATGCCGGTGAAGACGCACATGTGGTCCTGGTCACACACGGCGGTATCCTACACTTTATTACTGAGGATTGGTTAGGGATTGATCCTGGCAGGGGTAAGTCCTACGCCCCGACACACGAGGCGGGAGAAATGTGTCTTCGTTCAGCCCCATGATCTTTCCCACTTGTTATGACGACTGACAGCGGACTCGTCACAGGGACCGGTTGGCTCAATACCGAGTACCGGTCATACGAATTTGTAGATAAGACGGGGCAGGATCCAAACGCAAGCTTGGAGGAGCTTCCGGAGAGCCGGAGTCGCAGGAAGGGGTCCGAGATTCCTTACACGGACGCTGAGAATAGGGAAATGCGTGCCGCGTACGACAAGATATTCGACCAGGAGGTCAAGGCTTGCCTCGATGCGATTTCTCAGCGACAGGCAGCGGCCCAGAGCGACGCGAACGGCACGAATGGAGTCTAAGATTTAGATGGATCTTTCATTCGGCGGTTTAGACGATCGAGATATTAGATTAGATGTTAAGAAGTCTAGAGGCGTCCGTGGATTTCTTAGATATTCTATAGACTCGGCATTAAGGCTTCTGCTAGTTCAATAGATGGACTTCGTGTCTATAATTTTCATGTTGTTTTACACTTTCCAATGCCCACAGCTCTTGTATATTTTCTAGTTGTCGCCTCTTGCTCAACGCTGAATTCCTGCAACACTCTAAATCTCTACGATTCCTAAATTGGTACGTACGGGTAAAGCTGGGGTGCTCATAAGGACCGGTTTTAAGCTCTCCCGATATTATAGGAGTGCTTATCTAGGAAATTATATAGAGTATTCAGCTGAGACGACGCGGTATCTAAGAAATCCCAATGGGCTTAATGCTATGTCCTAGCCTTGATGGTCTGGTTAAGACAGTGACCTGATCTACATTTATTGTGCTGGCCACTGGAACCGAATTTCCTAAGAGCGGAACATCTAAACGTCCATAACATTGTAGATTAACCATCTAGGCTCAGGCTGTAGCTACTCCAAATGAGTTACTATTTGCCTATGTTAGACCACAGTATACCCCGTGCTCCAAACCTTCAATTCGTGTTAGAAATATCTAGAAGGACCTCGTACCCGGCCACGGAGTTTCCCCAGCCTTCGGTCTAGAACTGGAGTGGTCTGAGCCCGCGTCAGTGTAGACCTTACGCCTACCCAACGAGTATTGTATAATAAAATTTAGCTTTAGTGGCTGCTGGCTGAGTTGGTACGGATAGCGATGCATTCATACCCTAGCGTTTATAGGGGGTTCGATTCCCCCGTTGGCCATTGACTTATTTTCTCTCTCTTCCTTCCCTCTATTTTTTTTACCTTTAACATTTTGCTCCGTTTTTCTTTCTCTTTCTTATTTCTTCATCTTTACCTCTCCTGCATTTTCATCATTATCATTATTATGATTCTTTATCATTTTCTTTCTCTTTCCCCCGGCTATAACACCGCCTACATCCCCAAGCCTCGAAAAAGCAGGAGCTGCAACGGTTATGATACCAATGTAATCAAAGATCAGTTAGACTAGCTGTTCAATATAAACACATTTAGTAGTTCAGAGAAAGAGATGTGGTATTATTTAAAGACTGGCCGAGGATTATAAGTAGCAAAGTAGGTGGAAGCAGCTCAAACACTGGTAAATGGAGACAATGTACAAGCAGAGTGGTGGAATGAGACAAGAAAATGCCTGGAATCATTTGCCTCTTCTAGGTTCTCTGTCCGTCCTCCTGTTTTTCAAGTACTTTTAGTTGCGCGTGTGTCGAGCCGTCGACTTCGGCTGCCGACCATGGGGAACAATCAAGCGGGAACGTATAAGCAACCACTGTAAACTTGGCGGGGAGTTTTTAAACCATCTACGTTGCTTTTATGTTTACTGGTTGATTCCGAGGGTTAGGGGACGGGAAACACATCCTTTGGGTTTCGACTAATGTGATTGTACGAAGGCGCCTATGTGTGCCTCTTCTATTGCCCCTGGAGCAGAAGAATGGACCATGGCTTATCACCTGGAGACTTTAATGAGATCGAGAGGTCATGACTCTTTCTTGACCAACATTGTCCACCTGCAGTCTTTTCAGTGAGAAATGGGGACAAGCCTTCTTTTCTACAGTACGTACACTCTAGACCAGCATCTATTACACTCGGTAGTTTAGCAATGATAGGGAGCATATGTACAGGTAGTTTATGAACATCTAAGGACTCTATAGAGAGTAGAATGCTCAGGTAAGTATTACTGACTTAGTCATGCAGCTTCTCGGATGCTAACTTAGAGATATAGATACACTATAAGGAAAAATTCCTGGAATCGGATGGCCTCTTGGTCTAGTGGTATGATTCTCGCTTTGGGTCTGTCTTTATCTCAGCATGCGAGAGGCCCCGGGTTCGAATCCCGGAGAGGCCCGCTTCTGTAACATTCTTTTTGCCTTATTTTATTTTTTGCTGGTATGTCCAATTCGGACCTTGGGCTCTCCGTCTCCACCCAATCAGCCCCTCAGTTTAAGTGACGATGAGACTTCGAGATTGTTGCGATTATACCATATATTAATTATTATATCGCGCCGAGATGTTCTATGGCACATCCCAATGTGCTAGATACCTAGCTAGATATGCTACCTGCGTCATTTCTCATATTCCCTAAGTTACTTACTTACCTTTTGAACCAGATAATTCAACTACTGTACGCGTTGATCATGCGGTAGAAAGATGCGTGGGATGGAATACTATCTCATACATGGCATGGCGCCTTTTCACTGTCGTCGCAATGCTGAGTAGCGAATATCCATCGAGCGGTCTGATGTGGCGCCCGAGCTTGTAAGATATATGTTCATATCGTTTGGAGTTGATCTCGAGGCTCGTCTTGTGTACCATCAACGACTTAGCAGTGTGACGGCCTGGGACGGCATAGACGGGAATTGTCTATAGAGTTTGATGGTTGTAATGGACAGAATCGTCGAGCAAAGTAAAGAGGACGTAAAATCTCCATGCCCGCATTCCATCCATTTTTGCTAGGCACTCATGTTCGGTAACTACAATCTTGAACCAAACCTGCTTGAAGTTGCATGGTGCATAGGCTACTTTCCAAGACTCATTGGCAATGTCCTGACGGTTATTACGCGCTCTAAGGATAGGAAACTGGCGCTGCCTTATCCCGGAATCAGAGGAGATAGTAGTTTCAGACGTCAATTTTGGGGGAACTCGACACAGAACTTGTGCTAGCAGCTCATATGGTTGGATAAGACGATCGACTATACCACCGTGACATGAAATATCGCGTTGGCAGCTTTGAAGCGAACCTCTGTGGCCTCAATCCACGACATAGAGGACAGGTCGTGGAGTGGATTGCTAAACAGGCCAAGCAATTGCGATTTGCCTGCAACCGAGTTCCACATCATCTGGAACAAATATCACGATTCCTTTGCCTTCTGTCATAAACTTTTTAGAACATGGTAGTTTCGTAATGCGCCGAGAAGCAATGGAAGTCGCGGAGGGTTGGGAACGAGGTCGTCACAAATGCTTTTTGATTCCGTTGCGGGGTACTGCAGGATCGACTGGCTGATACCGGGTATCAATGAAGATGCGTTTATAGCATTGCCCTTGTCACGAAACACTACTTTGCTATGTAGCTAGTCTCGTTCCCTTTCCCTGACCGTTATGACCCATATGAAACCCTTTACGAATCCTTCTTCGCCTTCTTGCCCTTTGTCTTCTCGGTGCCGCGGAGCGTCTTCATGCGGTTCTTGCGTTGTTTTCCTGTTGACATTGGTTAAGGCAATTGTCCAAAGCAGATGGTAGGAGGGCGAGCAGGGCAAACATACTCTGCTGTCGGGATGCGCGCTCGGGCTTGGTGGCTAGGCCGTTACGGACGAGGTTGTGCTTGGCATCGAACTTCTTGCGGGCCTCAAGTGAGTCGTAGATGCAGGCGAAGGCGGTGGTCTTGCCACCACCGAAGGCAGTGCGGAGGCCGAATACGCTGACCTGCTCGGGAGTTGCCTTGTAGAGGGTGGCGAGCTTTTGCTGGAGGCTGGCCTTGGAGATACCGGCCTGGTCGGGGTGGATGATGTCGCTAGAGAAGGCTATGTTAGGAACGTGCGCTGGAAGGAGGGGGCATGTCGATGGTGGGAGAGCGCGGGTTCGTGGTTTCGGGATGCAGGTTGCTGTCGCTATCGCTGATGCTGTTGCTGCCGCTGGTTTCGAGGCGAATGTCAAGGGAGGGAACTTACGCGACCATCTGCTTCTGCAATCCAAGGTCTGTTAGCATCTCCAAACCCCCAAAACAGGCAGCGGGACGGGGCTACGAACGCGAGCAAGCAGGGGATTCCGCTGGAACTTGCGAGTACGGAGGGTGACAGAGTCGGCCATTTTCGCTGAGGTTGGCTGGGAGCGAGGAGGTTGATGTCGTGGAAATGGGAATTGGCTGCAGTTTGTAAATTCGTTTTTGATTTTTCGTGACGGCCGGAGATGTGTGTTGTAGCGGGGGCGGCGGCACCTGGCTGCACCTGGGCATTGAGGCGAGGTGGCCAGGCACGAGCTCGGACCACTGGATGGCTACAGGTTTTCTGGACACGCCGCACCATCTTCAGCTCACCTTACCTCCGTTAACCCCGCTCGCCAACTAATAATGCACTTATGTAACAGGGCTTGGATCGATCAACAATAACCTCCGGTACTTAGGTACCTAGGCAATCCTAAAACAGCTCTGGGACATAAGGTATAATGAGTATGCCGTCTAGGTCCGGACACTTATAGCCCGTCTTTTGAATATTTAATGCTGGCTTGTATTAATATGCTAATGCCATGCCGCTCCCGGTCAAATAATTGTAACCCTTATCACAACATGGTGAATGCCATATATCCAAACACCTACCACAGTGATAAATCACCTACCAAAGGAATCCATTTTCTAGAACTTAGGTTTTCGTGAATATGATATCTATTGAGATGCCGTAAGATCGCGCCTGCTTGGGTACTCTAGAATTTGATGGTTTATAATTCCGATCGCCCTCTAAACATCCGATCGTCCAACCACGCAGCAGCCACATCATCGCTCTTGTCGCCTACATCATGCACTTGAACTCGCCTGTCGGCCTCATCATCGTAGTCATGCATATCTTCATCCCACTTCATGCGCTCCTTGAGCTCGACCTTATTGATACTCCTCCGCATGAGACTTGCTAGCGCCTCTGCCTGGGTCCGGAAGCTGTTCACGTGGGTTTCCTTCTTCCGCCTTTGGCGTCTCCTCATCAACGATGGGGGGAGGGGTGGCGCGGTGTCATGTAGTAGCAGCATTTCGGGGATCTTTAGCGTTGACTTGCGTGGAGGAAAAACGAGCGGGCTCCTCCTTGGCTGCTTAAGAGGCATAAGCTGCTCTACCGCCTCCTCGGGCAGCCACGGCATGTCGATCAAAGAGGATTCAGGAGGGATCGCCGACTCATCAAAAGATGGAGGAACGAGCAACCCCGGCGTGTGAAAGAAGAGACAGGAGCTGGCGAAGGGATCAAACAAGTCGTCGGGCTTATTGAAGAGCTCCCTGGCCATTTGCTTCAGCTCGTGAAAGTCGGGATCGCCGGAAAGAGTGAGAATTTCCTCCAGAAAATTCCGCGATAGCGACTTAGGTAGCTTGTTGATGGGATGATCGGGTAAGAACATGGTCCAATTGTAGATGCCGTTGTAGGCGACACAACCCCTGACGGCCATGCGTTCGTGTGGATGAGCTTCAGTCAGAGCCAACGAAGTTGCTAACGAGGCGCCTAGATACGAGCCATAGACATATATATCGCGGCGCGCACTGCCTGAATTAGTAGGGACCAAATTTTCAACGATCCATGTGTAGGCCTTCAAGGTATCGTGGATTGGTGCCGGCCAGCGTGGATGAAAGCGCCGATAGATCGCCTCTTCGCCATCCGAAGCACCATCATCTACAGACTCTTCCTCAAAGGGATCCGTCCACCGATAGTGAATCACGGCCGTTGCGTGTCTTTGAGCGAATCTTGGCAACTGTGTCAAATCGCTTGCAGGAGCTTCTGTGGAGAAGGGTGGGAGATAGACCAGCAGCGGCTCTGAAGATGAGACCTTGGACAGATTGTGCAAGCTGCTTAATGGTTAGAATTTTGTACTAGACAAAGGTGAATTAGGATTGAGATAAGGCTTACTCTATTTTCACACTGCCAGACGAGCCAACAGGCACGTTTATCCGCTCTGCATTGTGAAGGCCCGAGGCGATGGTGCTCAGGGGCTTCGTTCCAAGTCTGAACTGAAGAGGCCGGACTGGAGACCTCAAGATGCTA